AAATTTTAATTCGTAATTTTTTTTATTCACGATTATGAAACTAATCTAAAAACCATCGAAACTTCAGATTAAATATTTTTAACTTAATGTTCACCTACCATGATTACGTATTTATAAAATAAATTGTTTGAGGTGACATAGTTAGTTCATGAACTGATTCAAGTCTTGCAAATAACCAAGTATCCGAGTAAACAATCAGCAGTAAAGACAATAAAATGGGAAGAGTTTCATTTCTGTTTTCATTTTTCTTTTCATGCGTGAAGGGTGGTTTACTCTGAGTTTGATCTGTGGTTTGTGACTGTCTTCCTATGTGGCCTGGAAGGGTAACGGTCTGATATTGCACAACGTCACGCTGCATACTAAGTGTTACGTGGAGCCCTCATCCGGAAGAAAGAAGAATGACCATGCGTTTCTTAAAAAGCTTTAGAAGATGACACCTCACGTGTTATAGAAAGCACCTGTTAGATCGTGTGACCTTTTTGAACTTTACTTGGATGTTATCTGACTGACTTCTAACACGCTTCATTTACTAGGAGTAATAATATAATCGAGGCGTAGTTCATGTATTTTGACACTATTTGAAGGTTGTTCAGCTGGTTAAACTTCCGCATATTATAGATAAACTCGTTTCTCAAAATATTTAGACACGAACACCAAATTACAATGTTTTTTATTTCAGTTTGGTATCCATGAACTACTGATGGAATTCTGCAATAACGATTAATTATCCATCACCCATTATACCAGATAAATTGTTGAATCTTCTATTTGAAATTATTGCTAATCTGGGCCACGGTAATACAGCTTCTGTTCATTGTTACACTTTTACATAACTGGTTTCCATAACAACCGCATTTTTTTTCCTGCCTCCTTAATACCTACATTATTTCACTCTTTCTATGATATAAGAACGTTCGTCAGCGTTTCCGTGCTGAAATGGTAATAACGATTACCTATCCGATTTTATTAAATTATTATATGTTATATATTTTTGTCTGCCACACGTCGCTGACCACCAGACCTCGTCGGCTGGGCTGGACCATGATAACAGACAAAAGCCCATCCACAATGCTGTTTTACATGACAAGCAAACAAAATGAAAAGATTTAAAATGCTATATTTACGCCCCTCAATTTGAAATATCCATAACTGACTAACTAAGAAGGAATTTGGATGGGTGGGAAGACATCTGCAATCAAGTGTAATTTGATCATTCAGATTCTAATATCAGTCCTATTGGCTTCTTTGTTTTGCTTCAGTATTTGTTGAAATGCAGAATGGTAAAAATTCTCAGATAAGTATAAAGAACAATGTACAGTGCAACCTTCCTTTTTTTTGGGGGGGGGGGCAAGTTAAAGTCGATCTGAAATCAAAGTTTATTTGAAGATTTGTCAAGAGGCTAAGCGATTACTAGATTGAAGTTTGTTTAACCAGTTTACTCTTTTTCTCTCCAGATTATAAGCTCATCTTTTAAATTTGTTTTATTCTTAGCTATATCTTCAGTTTACTTTTCCAAATAACGATTGTTCAGAACTATGCCATCTTATCGTTTTGTTGCTGTGTATGTACATACATTTATAAATAGATATAAATATATGTGTTAGTAGGTATCTTATCGTAAAAGTTTAATCATTTCAATACTTTATAGTAGAGAATTGTTGTATTTTAGGCTCTACCAGATAATGGCTTATCTTTTAAGAGCAGACTTTTCAGCTTATAGTTCGAAACAAATATCGCTTGTATTAACAAGGACTTAAAATACAGAGAATAGTAATTGCCTTTTGCTGCTTCCAACTTCAAATACCACGTTTAGTCATACTTGGAAAGTAACTTCAGTTGTTTCTGTTCTTTTACTGGAATTGTTCTTGCAACTTAACTATGACCACAATGAAATGAAAATTAGTTTACTTCTCAACTGAAGAACAACAACATTCCAAAAAAAAAAACGTTAAAAACAAGACAAAATTAAATGGCGATTTATGTTAAGTTAATTTTCCACCCATCACAAAGTTACATATTCAGATACGTTAAATATTATTACTGATCTCCATATGCAACAGAACATCAAACTTAATAGAGCAATGATTACTTGCACCCAGATGTTCTCCAATTTTCACCCTTTCAACAATTTCTATATTAAAAGTTAACAATAAATCTAAAATAACATTGTTTCTAGTGGGTTCACTGACCAATTGGTGAAAAAAACCATCTTGAACAGTTTCCAGAAAACTTTCTCCCTCGTGGTTGGATTCTAGCATTTCCCAATCTATATGAAATTAAAATCACCCATAATTATGACTTCATTAACAGCTGAAATCTTAATCTCACTGTAAAGTTTCTCACTAGTTTCATCAGTATCATCTGGTGGTCTGTAACAAATTCCTACTAAAAGTATTTTCCCCTTTATATCCATAAATAGAAACCCAATGGATTCAATCTCCTTGCTATTACCTTTGATATTCTCAACTTCATCAAGATGTAACTCACATTTTACATATAAAGTCACTCCTTTCCCTCTCTTTAGTAAATAACCTATGACCCTATATTTCAGAGAAACTTCTGTTATTAAAATCATCTACATTTAACCACGTTTCAGTTATTCCTACTATATCAAATTCTCCACTCCTACCAGCGCCCTAAAGTCATCTGTTTTATTTCTTATACTTCCAGCACTACAGCAGTAACAGTTAAGCCTATCTTTAGAACTACTTCTATATTCGTTTCCAATGCTAAACGTTTCTCTACATCTTTTTTTGCATTTAGTTTTTCCTGGCCCTCACCACTGTCTAGTCCTAGTTTAAAACTTCCCTTACAGCTGAATTAATAACCCTTGCAAACAAGTTAAACCCTACCCTATTTAAATGTAAACCATCCATTTCAAAACCTTCCTCTCTCATTGAACTGATACCACAAATCCAAACAGTCTACCAAAGAATAGTCTATCTGCTCATCCTTACATATTAACCTAAACTTAGCATTCAGCCCTTGTGACCTACTCATAATTTCATCCCCACAATTAAGTCTCTGCAGTATCCCTGATAATGATACAATTAAGTTATGGCCTTTTTCATTAAATGCCTTTATTAGCCCCTTGTACTTATTAATTAGCTCCTCTGACCTACCTTTCTTTACATAACTAGCCCCAATCACGTTCACTTTCTCGCGGTAACTTCCCAATCACGCTCATTTTCTCACGATGCCTTCCCAAACGCTGTATTACGAACATTTTTTATTTGTTCATTAATTGCAGTCAGTATGAAAAACCAAGTACGTTAATATATACCTTGTCTAATTTTTATCTACACATATTACAACATGGTGATATCTACATTTCACAAACTGGAATTTAATGGACAGTCCATTGTCTCTTCCCAACAAATAAATATGTCTAATTTGAGGAAAGTAAGGGTTCTCACTGTACTCCTGGTACAGCAGATGTTTTCACAAATTCTGGGTTTTCGTAACATATCACCTTTTCCTCAGAGGGAATGTCTTTTCTCATTAGATGGCGCACACGGAGGAAGAGGAAAGCAGCCACTAATGAAGAGACAATTAGAAGCAGCAAGAGAATTATTAAACCAGCAGCAAACCCTGGAACTGACATACAGATGGCGTTAGCTTTAAATTCAGAGACACTAGAGTACACGTCTACAAGAGTTTCTTTAGTTCCTTGAAGAGGTAATGTAAAGTCTACATCACCAGGAGCAACTACTTGAATAATCCGGTGAGTCTGGATATCTGTGGCTTCTGGGATTTGCCGACGGCGTCTTTTTGTACTATTGGATTCTAGTTCTTTTGACCTCGGAGAGGCATCACTAGAGCGAGGCATGCCTACACCTCCTGTACCAGATACAGCATATCCAGTGGAGATTTTCAAGTCACTTTTTTCTGCTGGGAGCTGTTCGCCATTACGATGAAAGAACACTGCCGGGTAATCCTCATCGACGGGATTATTAGATCCCGAGTACTGTGCTGAATCTGAGTTGGAGTTTGGTCGTTTTTCTTTCACTGGGAGCTTAGTATGCTTAGTACCAGTATAGGTTGGATTTGTCTCTGAATAAGCAGCAGATGGAACGCGAGGAGCAGGCAAATAGCCTCCAGCCAAATCTTCACCACACTGTGGGATAGGGCACTCATGCCTACATACCTGGATCACACATTGGAAATGGACATTCATGGAGTCTGGGAACTTGAAAGCTTGGAAGTAGGCATATGAAATAACAGAAGCAGATGCACCAAAGTTCTTCACTTTCTGAAATCTGCTCATTATCTTCGGTCTCACTGTACAACCGTAATTATCAACTAATTGAATTGGTTGACTTTTACCATCATGAGCAATGCAGTTTCTCACAAGCATGTCAAACTTGTGTTCATCGTCCTTGATGGCAAGAACCATAGTCATTGTTTGGCCAATCTTGACAATTCCGGCTACCTCACTAGCCCAAGGTCCCTTGCCTACTTGGATCTGCATCCAGCACTGAATGTTGTCACCCAGGAAGTTGGCTGTTACAGCATCCAACATGTCTACGTTGAAAGGTCGAAAAGTCACGGCCTTTTCATAGAAGTCATACCAAGTACAGCGAAGCCTGCGGGCCTGGTCCCAGATCTCTTGGAGCTGGGGATCGTACTGGATTATAACCGTATTCTCGATAAACAGACCGCCGCCATATCCTCCCTCGCCACCATGTGACCCATGCTGTTGTTGGCTACTGGTCATCCCACATTTACCTAGAAATATTTCAAAATTAACGTATTCATGGCCGGTACCTGGAGGTAAATGGACACAGTTATGGTCACTATAGTGACCCTTACTAAAGATCATGCCATAAAATGGACGGTCAAACTCAATATTAACCTTCATGTGATTCTTCTCACACTTGACATTCAAAGCTTTGATTTGAGGCATATCTGATCGTCCAGCTGGCCATAAGTCATGTGGTCCTGCTTCAGGATAACCTTCTGGACCCCTCACATTATGGTTCCCTGTCTCGGAACCAACTAGACTAGGACCAGGTCTCCCTACATAGGAAGGCCCACCTGGTCCTGGTCCTCCTACATAAGGGACGACCCCTGGTGCTTTACCACTAGGTCCATATTCAGGTGCGTTATTATACAAGGGACCACCATTTTCTGTATAGGCCCGGTGTTCAGCAGGTAGACTGGCTGATTCTTTCGCTTCTACATCCTGATATCTGTCATTTTCCCCAGCTGACACCTAAGTTTATTTTGAAGAGAAAAAAAACTTTAATTCATCAACGTTAAAAACAAAATACCACAATAACACATAATATATGAACTCCCGTTAGTCAAATGCATTATGTTTCGGCGAGAACAAAATACATTTCTTGAGAATAACACTAAGAAAAGTTAAGACAGTAATTATCAATGTAGGATTTGTTGTATATGATTGATGAAAACATTAATCACCAGTGTAGGATTTACTGAATGTAAATGCTGAAGCCATCAATAGTAAAAGTAATATTTATTTGTATGTGACTGCTGAACACATTTATCATCACTGAAAAAAAAAGTTATACTTACTTCTACGTGACTGTTGAACACACGTGACTTGAAGTTTATATAAGTTTACACGTCTTGCTATTACCCAACAGAGTCCTTTAAAACCACATCTGATGGTGAGAAACACTCAGAAAGGCCATTATACAATGTAATTTTAATGTGCTTTTTGAACTAATTATCTCAAATTAACACCGAGAGCTAATTATGGAAGAGTTCATTATCCTCAATACCAGCCCATAACGTAGTTGTCGACGGTGTCGTCCAACCTATATACGATATGGTGTGTGCTATATTTTCCCACTATTCTGTGCACATTCAAATGCATTAAATTTTATGATAAACACAATTACCCCTTCATCAAGAAAAATTTGAACAGCTCAAAGTCCATTCGTTAAAATTCTACAGCTCATGATACGAATACGGAAGTCTCGCAACGCCCTCTAGTTTTCTTTCATTGTTGTGTTTTCTTATTGTTTGTTTTCTTCGCTTGACCGCAGGAAATCGAAGCACCAATAGAGTGAAATCAAGAGATTAGCGAGATCCTTTTTATTAGTAAAATGTTGTTGTTTGTTCGGAAGATATTTTTGTTGATTTTTTTCACGCTACGACATTCAAGGTAAACGGTTTGTCTTTGGCCCATGTCTCTCCAAGTTCAAACTGTATATAAAAGTTTGTGTGTCATCTTGTGTAACAAGCTCTAGCCTGTTAAGTAGACATAGATATTTAGTCACTAGAAGCTCTAGCCTGTTCAGTAGACATAGATATTTAGTCACTAGAAGCTCTAGCCTGTTAAGTAGACATAGATATTTAGTCACTAGAAGCTCTA